GGAACCCCAGGAAGACGCAGGGAGCAGCGCGAGGGGACAGCTTGTCCGCAGACAAGTCGCAGACAAACGCCCGAGATCCCCAGACCCGGAACGCCGACGCATCGCCAACCTTCCCCGTCCACAGCAGGGCTGGGGAGGTCTCCGGCCTAGAGACCCTGGGGTGGAGGTTGATCTGATGCGCTACGTACCTGACCGCAAACGGCCACAGAAAATGGGGGGCAGCCGCATGCATCATGGACGTACGAGCGACGTCCATGACCATGCCAATGCGGCCCTCTGCAATCCCATTTTGCTGCGGGGAGTCCGGAAGCGTGAAGGTCTGGCGGATGCCTCGCGCACGACAGTAGGCACGCAGAAGGCCAGAGGAGAACTCTCCGCCTCTGTCCGAGTGCAGACGCAACACAGGAAAGTCCGAGCCAAAGCTCTACCTGAGCTGGAGACGAGCTGCGCGGATCCAGTCGATCAGCACCTCAGTGACATCACCCTTGCTGCACAAGGGGAAGACTGTGGTGTAACGCGAGTAGTCGCCAACCACCAACAGGAAGTAGCGCTCGAGACCGAGTCCACGGACGCGGGCAGGGCCCCACACGTCCATGTGAAGCGTCTGCAACGGAGCCTCTGTCGGAGGAAACTGGGAGGAGTGAGGGGCAGCACGCTGGCGCCCCTCGACACAGGGGACACAGGCAGTTCCAGGGCCCTGAGGAAGGGGAGGTAGAGACCGGGGGAGACCAGACACAAGAAGACGGGAGGCCATGCCTCTAAGCCGAAGCAGAGAGGGGTGGCCAAGGCGGTGGTGCCAGAGGAGGGTCTCGTGAGACAGACGGCGACACGAACAGGGGGCAGACTCAGGACCAGACCTGGACGCTGCAGCAAACACCTGACCAGACGAAGAGACCCTACCAGACTCAGCACCTGGAGGAGAAGCAGTGGTCAGTGTGTACAGGCTCGACCCTGGCTGACGTGTAAACGTAGCCAGGTGGCGACCTGTGCTAGCCTCTGTGCAGTGTGTCACCCGCTGACGAGCAGGAGTGAACTGGTGGACACCCGTATCCTGTAGGTCAGCACCACTCACCAGGTTCGTAGAGAACGAGGGGAGGTAGAGACCAGTCAAGGTGCCAGAGGGAGCCGCCGGACACGGGAGGACTGTGGAGAAACGAGACAAGACAGGACCCCCAGAGGGGTCAGCCAGGGACACCGCAACCGGCCGACTAAGCGGCGTGAGAGTGGTGTGGTCCCGAAAGAAGGAGCGAGACGCCCCAGAGTCAAGGGTGAAGGTGTGGAAGGCCGAAGCCGACACAGTACCTGAGAGTGCAGACTCACTAGTACCTGAGAGCACAGACGCACTGGCACCTAGAGCAGCAGCCTCACTGGCACCTAACGCAGCAGTACCAATGCCCGGGTCGGGCGGGAAACACCGGTAACAGTCACCCTCATCACTAACAGTCACAGCATACATGGCAGCAAGGATAGCATCATAGTCAAGATCAAAGATAGCTACACCAGCCCTAGACAGCTCTCCCCAGCGGGGGATCTCAGAGGCCTCCGGAAACTGCTGGCGCCAAGCGTCGGTCAAGCGGGCAAAGCAGCGGCGGGCGGTGTGGGTGCCCCCACACTGCTCACCCGCGCGGTCGCCGGTGCGAAGGACGTAGGTGCAGGGGCCGAACGCCCCACCACGCTGACGCTGCGAGTACCACTCACGGAGCTGATGAGGGGCGGGGATGTCGCGAGAGCGCTGCTGCTGCTGCTGCTGCTGCTGCTGCTCCTGCTGGCGCTGACCACCCGCAGTGCTGCTCCGCTGCGACGTGCCACTCCGGCCACCTCCATCACCGCCACCCCCGCCTCCGCCGCCACCGCCGCCACCGCCACCCTCGCCCCCGCCGCTCCCATCGCCACCTCCGCCACTACCACCGCCTCCACTGCCGCCACTAGTACCTCCACTCCCGCCACCACCTCCACCGCCACCCCCACTCCCCCCGCCACCCCCACCTCCTCCGCCACCGCCCCCGCTAGCTCCACCCGCTCCCTTGCCCCCCTTGCCCCTGCCAGAGCGGCGCCTACCGCTGGGGGAAGACGCAGCACCGACCGACTCCAAACCAACGAGGTCGGCCGCAGCAGCAGAGGCGACAGAGGGCAATAGGGGGGAGGGAGAACACCCCTCAAAGATGGGGGTGCGAGGGTCACCACGAGAGGCCCCTACAGCGACTATACTCTTCTCAGCCGCTAGCAGGGACTTCTCAAGGAGGTCGACAGTGAGGGTGGTGGGACAGACAGAGAGAAACTGGTCCCTAACGGCACAAAGGGACTCAGGGAGACGGGTGACTAGAAAGTAGAGAGTGATGTACATGGGAGGAGGGTTTGCGGCGCGGAACTCAGCAGGAAGCGCAGCGCGGTAGCGAGTGTCACTAGCGCGGAGGTGGGTAAAGAGGTCAGCGACTGTGGGAAAGGCAGCAAGGTCAGGGAAGAGGTACGGTAGCATGAGGCGGCTCAGCGTAGCGGAGGAAGGGGAGGAGTAGCGCGCAACTACAGCGTCGTACAAGGCCTGAGCGGTCTTGCACTGACTAAAGTGCGCACGCTCGGAGGAAGGGAGGTGTCGACGCACAGCAAGACGTGCAGCAGCATCGCGTGTGGCGCACTTGGAGCGAACAGTGGGGTCAGCATCAGCAGGAGGGGCAGGGATAGCGCCAGAGACAAAGTCAAAGAGAGAAACCTCATCTATCGCATCGCACAGTAAGTACAGCTGCAGGTCCTCGACCCAGACTGCAAAGTCAATGGCGCGACCCTCAGCATCAAAAGTCAGGACACTGGGGGTGGCCATTATAGCAGCTGACAGTCTCACCGGGCAGGAAGAGTTGGGTAGCTCAGTAGTATAGTAACACGGCAGTGCAGCGGCTGCGCCGGTCCAGGAGCAGCAGCAGCCCCACAGGAGCAGGAGCTCGGGCGGCTCGGGCAGCTCGGGCGGCTCGGGCTGCTCGGGCGGTTCGGGCGGCTCGGGCGGCTCGGGCGGCTCGGGCAGCTCGGGCGGCTCGGGCGGCTCGGGCGGCTCGGGCGGCGCAAGCTTCTCGCGGGCGGCGCACGGGTGACTGCACGGGAGGCTGGGGCGGCTCACGGGCAGCACGCGGGCGGCTCACGGGCGGCTGGGGCGACTCACGGGCGGCTGCACGGGCGGCTGGGGCGGCTCGCGGGCTGCTCACGGGCGGCTCGCGGGCTGTGCACGGGCGGCGCGGGCGGCTCACGGGCGGGCGGGTGGCTCGCGGACGGTCGGTGCACGGGCGGCGCCAGCGGCTCACGGGCGGGCTCATGGCGCACGGGCGGGCGGCTTACGGGCGGCGCCGGCTAACGGTCAGGCGGCGCGCGGGTGGGCGGCTCACGGGCGGCGGCTCACGGGCGGCGGCTCACGGGCGGCGGCTCACGGGCGGCGGCTTCGCAGACGGCGGCGTGGCACGGGCGGCGTCTGACGGGCGGCTGCTTACGGGCGGCGGCTGACGGGCGGCGCTCACGGGCGGTGGCGGGCGGCGCTCACGGGCGGTGCTCACGGGCGGTAGCTCACGGGCGGCGGCTCACGGGCGGCGGCTGACTGGCAGGCCGCGGGCGGCTCACGGGCGCTAGGGCGGGCGCCGGGCGCTAGGGCGCTAGGGCTGGCGCTAGGGCGGGCGCTAGGGCGGGCGCTAGGGTGGGCGCTAGGGCGCTAGGGCGGGCGCTAGGGTGGGCGCTAGGGCGCTAGGGCGCTAGGGCAGGAAAAAAAAAAATTCGAAGTGGTGGGCCCTAAGCAAAGTTCCCACAGGGGAACCTGCTCGATACCATGAGAAGAAGTGAACGAGAGAATGAATGAACTATGAACGAGGTGAGTACAAATAGGAAACCCTAATTGGGTTGTACCCCCTATGGGATACCCCACTATAGCGTACACAAATAAGTAAGCTATAATGTTCTGACAGGGGAGTGTCAGAATTTATATATATAACTGCCTGTAGCTGTAGTTAGTGTAGTTATTATAAACTTTGTTAGGTGGTGCACCTTCTTTGTTCACATGCTATATGTTCTTGAAAACATATAGTGAACCCCTCATTTTCCCAACTTTCTCGACACCTTCCCTTGGCACAACCTACTCGATATCCTCCTTGGGCCTAGGCTACTAATCCTAGGCCCTAGTTAAACCTAGCATTTAACTTCTTCATTCTCGTTGTTTCTCACACAGAGGAGCCAATAAAGCCGGAGCCCACTCCACAAAAAAATAAGATATAAAAACCGATTCTGTATGATGATCAGAGTGTTGCGATGGGCCCGCTTATTACTCAGCGTCGTCGTCGAAATCCTGCGCGACCGCGCAAACGCCAGTTTGCGGCGCATGCATCTCCCTCTCCGAGGTCGATAAGAATCGCACTGTCGATCGCTGTCATTTCCCGCGCATTCGCCCTATGTTTGCCTCAGCTTTATGCCCCCTCCCGCGCTTCCTCGTCGACGTCGCGTCCCGTCACCCTTGCTTCCTCTCGTCTACGTCGCCGTGCCCGATTACGTTGTTACCTCCGATCGCTCTCTTCCTATGTTGTCTATCGCTTTCCGCGTCCCCCACGCTTCGCCCCACCGTCGCCCACGCTTCCTCCTGCTGTCGCTCACAATTCATTCTGTTGTTGCCCATGGTCCATCCAAAAATTGACGGGTCCTGAAAGTTACTTTTCCAAGGCAGAAAACAAGTAACAAGCAACATACTGGATAACTGGCTTTTTTGCACGCGACTGACTCAAAGTCGCAGGGCTTTGCTTCCCCAAAATGTGGGAACCAGTTGAGGTAACTTGGGCTAGGCTTGGCAATGCTTCTGATTCGTTTTCGCCTGGGGCTCGCGCGTCTAGATTTGGCGTGAAATTTTCCCGCCTATTCGAAACACCATGTGATATAGATACACATGTGCTTTTCGGATTGGCTGTCAACAGACAGGATGCATTTGATAATCGTTATACACTAGAGCTGTCGAAGTTGATTTTGGATGACGATACAGATTGTGCATGGTTTGTGATTAAATCGATTCGAATCATTCTTCTGATAATTACATGTACTTGAATGGTAGGGTACTGCTTGTCAGAGGTCCACTGGTGATCCCCGATCGATCCTAGGGAAGGGTTACAGGCACATTTGCCTGGGGGGTTATGGGCGCACTGACCCGCTACTTAAACAAGCCCTTTTATCCCAATGGTCTAGTGGCTGGGATTCTGAGATGGTATCCAGAGCGGAGGTCTCGGGTTCGAATCCCGGTGTATGCACTTCGGGCATCCCAGTGCGGGGGGGTGTCAGAGGTCCACTGGTGATCCCCGATCGATCCTAGGGAAGGGTTACGGGCACATTTGCCTGGGGGGTTATGGGCGCACTGACCCGCTTCTGAAACAAGCCCTTTTATCCCAATGGTCTAGTGGTTGGGATTCTGAGACTGCTGACCACTAGTTGTGATATGAACAAAAAACTTGAAACATTTATATCTATTTGGAACTCCGTGTCATTATCCGTTGTTGCAAAATCTGATTTGCTACAAAATGTTTCCTTATACAATATGAGAATGGATAAATAGTAAAATAAATATCACAGTCGTGATCCCCAGAGTGTACTTTGCATGAAATACAGCCTAAATTATAATATCATACATCATCAAGTTAATAATCTATCAACCATAGTATACCATCTATACTGAGAAATAGTACATAAACAAACAAGCCTAAATAAGACCACAATGTCAATTTTTTCCTAATAACCCAAACCATCCACACACACTGTCGGATCTCTTCGTTTTTTTTTTTTTTTTTTTGCCAATTCCATCCAGATTTAGACCTTTGGCAGATTGATCGAGTTTGACAACTTCGTTCACCACGAACCAAACCAGCCTCAAACGGAGAAACCCGCTTCATCGAGCATTACGAGGATAGAGAACAAGGCCTTCCCATGATAGAACAGCCATTCACACCATGTGTCTGAAAAAGAAAGGGAATGGAGAAAGAAAGGGAGAAGGAAAATGAAACTCCCAAAAAGAACCCAAATGCAATACACATAAAATCCCCCCTCAAGTTACCCAATTGAAACGCCCAGTCAAGACACCCCATCAAGACATCCCATCCCACGCCCC